TGCTGGTGGCTTCAAAACGCCCACCACCGATTTTAAATTTTTCTCCACTGTGTTTACGCAACCCTTGCTAATGAGGTTAACTACAATAACCGTGAAACGCCAATTCTCCACACTGGTTGTCATTAATTTATTTTAATTTTAGTTCTGAGAATTTGGTACTTCATCAAGACCGGCGATCAGACAAACACATATTATGTGATTCTTTCAATATATAGAACGACAAAAATTACGCCATGTTCTCAATATGTGAATATCACATATTCTAACATTTACATAAAATAATTTCAATCTATATATTTTAACTGTCACATGATATGTGAATATATACAAACCCCATCAAGACTATTTCTTGCTTAGCTTGTTAGCATTACTACACTAGTCTCATGATGCAAGACACTGACAATCGTTTAGTAGTCATGGAAACAGCATCTTATCTAATATATATAAACCACGGAAAGGGGTAGAAAAGAAAGTAACTGAAAATAAAAGAGAGCACCTCTGCATCGGAGGTCAACAGAACCGACACTAACTGTATGTGCCGTCCCCGCTAATAACCCAGACGCAAGTGTTTGGGGGATGTATTAAAGAAAAAAGAGAACAAAGAAAAAGGGACTCCCGGTCCGTTTTGTATTTATTGGGAGAAAAAAGAAGAAAATGATTTTTTGTGCGTGTGACTGTCTACCTTGCGATCAAAAGCGCATGATTTCTCCAACACTGGCGCATGTCCCAGGTTCCATGTGGCATATTTCCACACCCAGCGTGATACAAGTGCCAAAACTTCATCACATATTTCAGTGTAGAAACTACTGCTTCTTTTTTTAACGTCAAAGAGTAACTCCAAATGATGAAAAGTTCTACGCGAATGTTCTTTTAAATTGAAATGTTGGCCCCACGAAGGTTTTTCATACCATTTTGACTATATTGAGCTTTTCAAACACACTTTAGTGTATATTGATAGTATTGACCCTAAATTCTTCTTTAGGGGAAATAATTTAGCCTGGAATGTCAATATTATATTATATTACTTGTCACGACATTTATACGGCTAATGAGTGTATCTGGAATTGAGAAGAAGATGTTCCTTGTCAATTACTAGACCTTTTCGTAGTTTGGTTCGAGGTTTCCGGCATTTTAGGATCAAGGCTAATCTCTGAATACTTATTACACAAAAAGGTAAGCGCTGGCTTTGTTTGACTGTCATGACAAGCCTCTAATCGGTTGACTTATAGGGTACGTGCGTAAGCAAACTGAATCCATATTCACTTTCACCGTCCTTCAAATCTCTTTCTTTTCCGAGTGTTTACGATAGATAGATCGCGTATTAAGTCGAGCACTGTTAAGGATATGTTTCTTGCGTGTAAAGCCATGATGGATTCATTGATCAGGAGAAAAGCATCTAAATATATTATCCCAAGAGCGCGTATGACCTTCCGGCATTTATATCGATTTAAAAAATTTCACAAAGGCTGTCATTAAAATATAAACGGCACTTTCTATCAAAATACGGGATTTGTGCGGTTTTGACTGTTAACCGTTCATATTTGTCTGTGATTGTGGTTTCGCGCACCGTGACCTGTGAGCAGAAGATATCCGTGAGTTATCATCACAGTGACATGACTGTTATTGCAAATCACGTAGCGTATTCAGAGACAAAATGGAACGGCATCAGTGGACTATTCAATCGTCTGACCTTTGGTCTAACACTGCCATGGAGTTTCTTACCGCAAGGTATATTCTTGCCGACTGAAATGCGTCATGTAAAATGCGCAAAGAAACACTCCATATTAACTGACGTAGATCTCTGTAAAAACTAACGCCACTGCATTTGTCGCATATCATATGCGCAGTCTTCTAAGCTGGTGTGATAAACGAGTTATAATATGGTTTTATTCTGGAAATAAAGCGGATTAAGCTTAAACCGCAGAAAACGACTGCTATATATAACAAAAAGCCGTTCTCTTGTAACATATCGCTGATTTTCGCGCGTTTCCGGTGCGATAATTCAAAAAGCGCATTTAGCGCCATCGGATTTATATCGTTTTTTGGTATTATTTCTCCACTTTTTTACAATGTTGTCGAATATATAATGTATGTCGTGCTATATTTCCAATAATTGTTTTGTTCTTATTCCTGCTTTTATTTTTTTTCGTCTCCTAATTATTATTATCTTTATTATTTTGATGACAGAATTATCAACGTTCATTTCCACTGTCACATAGCCACTTTCTGTTATCTGTGCAATATCAAAGAAGCTAATTACGGTACACAACCAAATTAGGTTTTTTCCTGTATAGTTCAATGCTAAATTGCTTTTCGTACATAACAATCGCTAATTTAATTGTTAGCCAAAATATAGCCATTGTAATGGATATCACACCTTCTGATTGTTTGAAATCATAATACGAATGACTGAGTGGAGTGCACTACACAAGCGAGCGGTCAAACTCAGTTTTTTGTTCAGGCGTTTTCTGCGCTCAAAAGTAAATATGCTGTCAGTCCTTGAGCTCCAGGTACAGCCTCGTTCCCAATTTTTGTTGGATTGCATTCCTCTCAGCCGAGCAGCTATCAATTCTTAACTATATCTGTAATCTACTTCCCTATCGGCAAAAAATGCTGATTTGAATTTTGCTGCGTCAAATCTGCTTAGGAATATATGCTTTATTTTTTACCTTTCGAAAAAGCGGGAAAAGTTACTACTCCAGGCAAATGGCCGATTCCTTGTTTAAAGTACAGTGTGTGTTCATGTTATGATTGTACAAGTGTCGTGATATCAGAGTTACACAGCGGTAGCTTGCGTCCGACATCGAAACGAACAAGCGCAATGGCTTCCCTAAGCGGGGTTTTTCTGTCAAAACAAACTAAAAGCTCATTCTACTGAGAGAGAATTCACGCTGACTTGAATTGTTTGTTGGGTTATCCGATTGGTGGCTTTTCGTTTCATCCATGTTATCTTTCGGGGCAGAGCCCGTGCTTTGTTGTCATACTTGCGGGAAGTTTATTGGAGTTCGTGATCTTACATGCAACAAGCGCAATAGATTGTCGATGCTTTGCTAGAGAGACGCTCCTTAATCTACGGTAGGTAATAATGGCTGCATGGCAGGAATTTAAAAATGCTCGCCGAGGTTGTGGTCAATGTGTATTGAACATGAGTTGAATTTTTAATCAGCTTTCACTTTTTCATTAAAAATGATCTTTGATCTTGCTCTTGACACAAAATAGCATTCGGGCTAAAAGAATGGCATTGTTAGCTTGTAATAAACTTAAAATGACAGATTTATTAACAAACTGTATAGTTACTCTAGATCTAAGTGTAGTTTGCATGCCACCGGGCAGATTCACGCAATAATGAGCTTTAACTGATCTGCGACACACGTGCTCACAGTATTAAAGGAGTTAGGCCAAATCCTGTTATATTACCGCTGGATTATCTCTTGGAATATTTTGTTTCAAAGCGAGTTGTAAAGCCTCTTTACAACTTCCCGTAATCTAATTAGGAATTGTCGTTTTAAAAGTCAAGTAGTGAGTGATGTTAGAAGCACATGTCTCCATGCATCTCCTAGCTCGTTCTAGTCGGGTGAGTTAGTTTATACTGACAAACAATAAACTTTCGCTTGTGCCTGATCACTCGCTCTATTCTTATGACCTGTAGTCTTGAATCTGAAGTAATGTCGCTGGAGGAATTAGCATGTTGATCACTCATACAGTAGTTCCCGGGCGTTTCACGGGTCCTCTCTCTGACAGTGGCGGTTCTGAATAGACTTGGGTAGGGAGGTGAAGAGCCCTGGAGTGAGGGCAGGCTTACTCCCTGCAGTATACTATTTTGACGCAGACTTCCACTGTTTCATCCAAAAGCCTTCCTGAAGAATGAACTATCATGAGTAATTGTGAGTTTAATACGCAATAGCTCTCGTTTTGGAGTCTCCCAGGTTTGCGGCTGACCTCTGTTTAGTCCCTTGTTATTTGCAGAGATAAATAGGGAAAATATACCCGCGAACTGGCTAAGTGTCATGCCAAAAGTATTTCTGGGCGACTGAAGCAAAGAGGATCGCTCCAAGTATGCATCAATCAGTGAGAAATGTCTCATTAATCATGTCAAATGTAAAGAAGATAATCAGAAATTAATGAAAGATAACCTGTGTACTATGTACACCGTACATCCGCCCGCTCCCCCAAAAAAATCCCCTTAAAAAGAAAAATCCCTCTCCCCGATTTTTTGTAGGGCAGGGGCGGATAAACCCAGGCTATGGAAAGAATGCAGAACATCTATTATTTAGGCACCACACCCCAAGGATGAGATTTTCTGGCAGTTTGAATACACAATGTATTCCAAAGAATAGGAAAGATTTGTACGGAAGAACGCAACTTTTCCCTACGAATTCGAACGGAAGTGTATTTGAAAATTGGTGATTTATTAAGATACGTTTTGAGCAACAGTGACTTCTAAATTATTTCTTAACTTACCATCACTAATTAAGTACCCGATCATCTCCGTCTGCGAAATGCTTTGATTAAAACCACACCCTCCCTCCCAATCGGAATAGAAGAAGTAAAGGAAAAACAGTGGAGAGAACTTGGTAGCGATCTTGTGATGCTTTGAATGCTTGAAAGTATACAGATGTTTTTTTTTCGGAAAGAATAAAATACTTTTACTTATCTTAGAATGTTTAGACAAGGACTTTCAGATTTATTTTGCAGTAATAATGTCAATAGTAGTACTAGCTGATATGCACATGCAAACATCGGATGCTTGCGCCCGCAATATCTGAAATCATAACATTGGATTTCCTTTGATCCTCTTCGATACCGGTTGTTTAAGCGCTGTAGGGCATTAAGAAATTTGCAAGTTTAAAAGCCACTTTACGAACTCTTTTTGTCTCGCTAAAATTGCTTTATTCGTGGTTTATATGGTTGATGTGTGAATGACATCACCTTGAGCGGCACTCGCGGCGACAGAACGCGGCGAAACCATTGAAAAATGGCGGAGGTAGGTAATTCAATGCTGTTTGGGACTCAGTGTACTCGTCCAAGAGGAGATTAATTATTCTTTAGTCATAAACTATTACTGAGTAAAGGTAACGCTAAATAAACCCTAAACTTGTGATTTCTGTTTTTCTTTCAGAGTTTCCTGAAAACAGGCTGTATTTCGATGCAAATCAACCGAGCAGAACTTCAGAAGGTTCGTGTGAAGCTGTCTCGTGATGCCTTGACAATTCAGAAGGAGGGAAGAGTATCTCCTTCGTCCTCTCCAATCAACCAGCCAGAGGTACGTCAGTAGAGCTTATTTTATACTTTCCTGATACTTCTCTAGAGATGAACCAGACAGTTCTCCTGAATTCGCTTTAAATTTTTCACAACATGATTTCATTCAGCTAAGGTCAAAGTGTGATCTGCCATGCATGCAACGGAGGTCTCATCTGACTCAATTTTAAAATCATTTGTGTCTCAGAGCTGTTCGATTTTTTATTTTCCTTTGCTCTGCATTCATTTTTAATCAAGCAGGAAAAGGGAATGAATAAAGAATTCAGTCACAGGTTTTCCGAGGAGGTGCTGTTTGCCTCATTCAATTTTTGTCGGGTGCGCGCGCGGCCGTGCGGTCTTGTGCGAAAATTTTCTAGAAGGACACACAAACAAGTGATTGTGATTGCTTTCTTTGTATTCCTTTGCTCTTTGTTACAAATTGGTTTATAACCAGCGTGAAATACCCAATTCTTAGACTATTTTTTTCTTCTGCTTGCCTGTCGGGCAAATATATCTTGGCAAATAATTTTGCTTGTTCAAGAAAGCCCTCCAAAGGTCGCATTTTATTGCTCTGGGCTTAACTGATATTGTGAAATAATGAGGGCTGCGTACATCTGATTGTTTGGAACATTATTTTGTTAACTCAAGTCGTGAATATTTGTTTAACATCTCAAATATAACGGCAACAGGTTATAATTCGTTTGCAACCGATGAAATCTGCACATGTATGAAATTTTATTTATTCTTACTGTGGAGATAAAAGCCATTAGCCATGCATGTTCAGTTATTATCTCTCTTTGTCTATCCGCAGAGATGTTTAAAAAAATATTTCGTCACGGAATGTTATTTTTAATAATCCTTGAAGTTGTGTACAGGGTTCATTGTAAACTTAAAGCCAAATATAGCTCATAATAAGCTAATGTGGATGGATGTACAATGAAGTAAGCTGAAGATTTTTTATATTTACAGATATTTAGAAATAATAAATTAACTCATTGTGTCACATTAATGTGACTAGGAGGAATTTTAATTTTCATATCTTAAAGATTAAAATTCTCTACTGTTGTATGTGATTATCATGGGTGAGCGACACTGATCACAAGTTATTCACAATCATGTAAATTAAAAAAATATAGCAGCTGTACAGTGCAAGCAGTCATTTTAAAAGTTTGGCTATCTGAAATTATATTGTTTCTAAATTCACAATATTTCAAGGTGTTACTGAGTGTTCGCTAATCTCTTTCTTAATACTCATGGTGCATTGTATTTTATGGTTGAGTCTTTTAAATGGTCACAGGTGGACCAAGTCATCCACAACCTGTCAATAAAATTGTCGAACAAAATAGCCCTTTGCCATCATGTGACCTACTTTTCAAAAAATTGTGGGCTATATCTTAAAGAATGCCAGAAATGGAAAGAGCTTATTGAAAATATCAAAATGGCCAAGTATGAGGCCCCTGGCTTTAAAGAATGAAGCCTTGGGATTTCATGGTGACGATCATCTGATACCATCAGGGCGGGAAAAAAGTTTGAAATCCACTTGCCCAGTGGGCCAGTAAATTTCAGTTTTCATTTGCCCCCACTTCAATATTACTTGCCGACATGGTGGCCAGTATGGAAATCAGAGGACAAACGCGAACAAAGTATGCTTGGATTCCTAACTAATCCATGCTTTCAACCTAATGGTTGACTAATCTTCCAGTCCTAAGTTTTGAAATTATAGTTTCTGACTGGAATTATCATTTATCAACATTTTCATTCAGACTCGTAAGACTACTGAGGCTAATTTCACTTGTCCGCCCGGCCACTGAACTTCTATTTTCATTTGCCCAAGAGCAAAATTTACTTGCCCTGGGCCATCAGACCTGGGTTTTTTCCTGCCCTGACCATGTGATTGTCGTTACCTATGCTGAAAAACTCACAGGACTCAAAGTTTGTTACCTATTATGATACTGCTGTCACGTTATTAGAAATTAGATATTTTTCAACTTTATGATCAATATTCAATCCCAAGTCTGCCATCTTGTATCCATTATATATGGTGCATTATGTGGTAATGTGCGATGCTATCTGAGACAAATAAAAGAAGGTAGATGAGTGGTTTGAACAGTGTTGAACAGTATTACTTGTCTGTTACCTTCACCTTTCAAAGAAGACGAAATACAAAATGTTTACTCTGTGTAACAGAGAGTTGAATTCTGAGAATGTGCAGTAATCACATAAAAATCTTGTGCGCCATTTTGTGACTTTATTTCTAATTTTTTTTTTGTTTAGATTAGCTGATAAATTTTTATTCCTAAACTCTCTGTTTCATTACTGATCATTACCCAAGATCACTGGATATGGAATTGAAAAACAAAACAAAATGTTTTTCATTAATTGTAATCCTAAGACTGCAAAAAGCTTGCTATTGTATTGTACAACCTTTTACCTTTTTTCCTGTATGTAAATGTATCCTGTTATCGCTTGATTTGTCAGACTTTTGTCTTTCTTTATTTTCTTTCAGAGCACAAATGGCAAACTTGATTCCCCAACATGGAAGAAGTCTCCATCAGGGGTAAGACCTAAAGATGTACAGGACAGTGATATGATCAATATGACCTTCCTTCTGAAGTACCCCTTCCACTTAGTAACAGCACATCATGTGATTAGCAAGTTGTTGTGCAGTTAACAGTGTCTGTAGCTGCCAGTAATGTTACTTCTGACTACCATTATGATGTACTCATAGCATTTGAAGTCATGAAATAATTATGTATTTTATAAACTGTGTGAATGAAAATAACAAATTCAAAACAGTGTTCACATTCTGTTTTCCCTTAAAGTTCTGAAGGGGTGTGGCACTTCTATACTCAGTGTTTCAATTGTATGTATAATACTTTGTTTTGGCTCCAAATACTAAGCTGAGTTTGAATTTCTAGAGCACAAGTGATGAAGCTTCATCCCCAACTCAAAAGAAGCCTGCTCCTCCTTCAGGGGTAAGCTGTGTCACTCCATGTCTGTTTTATGTTGTGCTGTCACTGATTTTGACTATGTTTGTAACTGTGGAAATTTTTAAATTATTGAACAAGTCATTTTCCAGTTGCTCTTACCTTTTTTTCTAAACAAGTCTTGGTGCACAACCTTCATATTTGAAATGAGTTTTTCTTGTAGTTCATTGTCTTGCAAATCAAGCTCATTTCCGTATGAAGGGTTGTCACCAGGACTCGTTTTGAAACAGCTTAGGTAATAAGCAACTCGGAAATTCTTGTGGATTAATGATAGAAATATATAAAATAAGATATATAGCACCGACCTCTGACTTTGAAAGAGTGCAGACTAAGGTTTAAACTGTTGCTGTCACATCTGTAGAGACAATAAACAAATGAGGTTGGTTCAATTCTCCTGAGTATTTTGTAATCTACCCCATGGAGAAGGGTAAACCAGGAACCACTTAGAATGTGGCACTGGCCAAAACTAGTACTATCAACTGAGTCACAATAATCAAAGAGACAAATAAAATAGTTAAAATATAACTCTCTGCCATACAAACATTTGTATGCTACTTAGGGTGAGTGTTACATCAACTGTTGATATCTAGAATATTCATCACTAGAAACTTCTTGCTATACAGATTGCTCAATCAGGGCCTGCAGAACATGTTTTATAGTGAGGGAGGGAGGGTCCTGACTAAATGGACACGAAACATGGGCTGTGTGTGGATCTGGGGGCATCCTCCTGGTATTTAAACACTCAGAAATGTGCAGACTGGACTGGGGAGGGACTAGAAGTGCATCTAGCAGAGGTTGAGAGGTGAAAACCACTCTCCGAGATCAGCCCACTGTAGAGTACCTGATAATAATGCCCATGTGCAACGGAAATATGTACACTGGAATCTTGATTTTGCGAGCCTCCAAAGGAAACAAAAATTGGTTTGAAAAATCAGATAGTTTGAGAAACCGGGGGTAAAATTACAGTGTTCTGCTGCGGAGAGGGAAATGACTTTTGGTTAGAGTTATCGGAAGGTTCACAAAAATGAGGCTTTGAGAAATGGGGATTTCACTGTATGTGAAAGCAGTTTCTGTTCACATGCAGTGGCAAAATCACTGACGTATTTTTGCTAATTAATTTAGACATTGTCTGTCCTTTATTGTTCTAACAATCATTATTTCTTTGTCATTTAGGAGAGGAAAGTCAAGCTATCAAGGAGAAAAGTTGGGGGACTTGGTATGAGCATAAAGGTACACACAACTGCTTTATAGATACTGCTCATGATGTACACAGCATTTATTTTATTGTAAATGTCTGAATCTGATTGGGTCTGGCAATATTAAGTATATATTTGTCAAATATTGACCTCAGTATTGTATTCATTGCACTTAAAAATCCAAAAAAATTGTTCTTGACCTGTGGTCTCAAACTGTCCAAACTTGTAATGCTACAACAGGTGAAAATTTCCAAGATCTCCTAACAGAAGTTGAAGTTATGACCTTTCAGGCACTAGCCGAATGTTTTCCTCTGACTTGTGGCAGCTGGGCATATTAGTAGCTTTATATGAACATTTGCTGCTTATAAGACTATTTTGGAGAATATTTTTTTTTAGGCTTGTTGGTCCATACATGTAGAACAAATTACAAACATTTAGTTATAGTCCTCACTATCAGTTACTTTTTCTTGTTCAGGGAGGCCGGGAAAGCAATCTACCAATAGCTATTTCAAGAATATATAAAGACCAAGCAGGTATTCTTGTGTTCCTTTTAGTTATAGATATGATATTAATTTTGTCAAATCGCTATTAATAATGTTTCCTTGTTAACTGACTAATTTTCTGTTGTTATTTAAGCTTATGAGACACGCCGACTTCACGAGGGAGATATAATACTGGAGGTAAAGAGGCAATATAAACAGGTCACATGACTGTTATGCTTGTAAATGATTTGAGTCTTGCATGGTTTGATTTCATTTCTTTTCCCCCAAAAGTATCAAATTACCGGGACTTGTCTCGGAAAAAAAGATTAAAATCAACCTTGGTCTCTTTACAACAAGATACAAATTCAAACAGTTGGTATTTAAATCATTTTGCATTTCCTAGCATTTCCTTTTTTAATTGTCTCCACAAGGTCAATGGACAAAGCATAAGGAAAGCCACACATGACGAGGCTGTAAGTAGAACAATGTTAAGTGTGTTCAGCAACACATTAATAGTCAACTTGAAACTATTAAAAGTTTGAATTTTCACCACAATTGTAAGTATGTTATGTGTTTATTGGTCAACAGGTAGCAGCTCTCAAGAAGGGTGGTTCAGAGATTGAACTGACTGTTATTCACTCCTTATCCAGCTCATCAGCAGGTACTAGTCGCATGAAATACAAAAAAAATATCATACTCTGACAATTATAGTCTGTGTTTATGTTCAGATGGAGTTGTTATACTAGGGCAATAATTGTCTATTATTATATGGCTTTGGCTTGTGGCCGATATAACGCACGCTCTGATTGGTTAATTGTCACTGAATTGTAGGGCATTATTCTCCCGTAATGCCCACGGGCCGATTACGGATTATGCAAATTAGGAAGAGCCCG